GGCGCGCGGAGAGAGAACAGTAATGGAGAGAGGCAGCGGGTAGATAGTTGCTGTAGAGAGAATGTCAGGTATATATATATATATATATATATATATGTGTGTGCATGTGTGTGTAGATGATAGTAACTGGTCACATCCAGTGACTGCATTCTTAACCTGCGATGCCTACATGACATTACTAACCGTGAATACATGCTAAGCATCCAGCTCATTATTGTAGTGGTCGGTCATATTTATAGATATTGGTTGGTTAACATAGTGATATATACATGCATTAAAGGCTTCAATAGAGGCATAGATAGTCAAGAGTAGGATACCTTGAAACCTTGAAACCTTGTTAGATCAAGTAAAATGGTAATCTTGTGCATTTTTAGCTCATCTGACATAGTCAGATGCAGCTTGTAGAATCGCATGATCGTCCGTCGCGTCCGTCCGTCCCGTGCCGTCCGTCCGTCGTCGCGTCGTCCGTCAACAGTTGGGCACAAATCTTAACCGCTCGACGTACGGTCACGATATTCGGGACGTGGGGGGTAATCCGAAAACGAGTTGGGATGTCGAAGATGGGGGTCAAAGGTCAAAGGTCAAGGTGTAAAATAAGGGGGAACATTCACTCCTTAACTTAAGGTATAGGGAGGAAATGCAGAATTGCGGCACAAATCTAAACGGCTCGACCTAGGCTCGTGATAGTCGTGTATAGCATCATGGTAGGAAAAGCCATCACTAGTGCCGAAATTGGAGGTCAAAGGTCAATGGCACAGGGCAGATTTTAGACATTTTCTGAGGACATGGTCTGACGGAGCAATTGAAAAACTTTTTTGTTTCAGCGGTGACCTAACCATTTTTATGGTTTATTGAAAGGACCATGAAATGTGCTTTGCACTGACGTGCGAAGAGTAAGTGTCTGATAACCTTTTGACCCTCAAGAGGAGGGATTTAAACATATTGTTGACTGTTAACAAAGGAGTGAACTGCTTTTGCTATTAGAGCCCCCACCCCTCACCCTCCCCTTCCCCCTCCCCCCCCCTCCCCCTGCCTTCCCCCACCCTCCCCCACCTCCCCCTACCCTCCATCTGCGATAGTGGGCGTTCCTAACAATGATGTGTACGCAACTGCGTGTCTGCATATCTGCGCGTAACAAATGTGGTACTACGCACGACTGAAATTTACGTATATAATCGTAGCAACAGACCTCAGATGAGCCCAGACGCTTTGCGGCTCTTGTGTTATACCGTACTTGCAAGTCATTTGCAACGACGTTGCATTATGGTTAGCAATGGTTGCTAAGGTATATTCTAGCAATCTCTGTGACAGACCTCTATATTCTGTCAGTAACCTTTATTATTTTTACAGCCGTTAGAAAGTTCTGAGTCCTGTTCATTACATATTCACTTGAGGGATTTTAAAGTAGTGAATATAGATGGAAAATGATATATAATCACAGGAGTTAGTTCTGGATACTAGTTATATAATTATATATACATAGTGGTATATATATGTAACTGTCGTATCAAGGAAATGAGACTATGGTAATATTTTGTGAAGTAAGAACAGATTAGCAATATTAATAATGGGGGAAGTAATCTGGTTCGATTGCGCAAACTGCATAATGCTCATAATTAAATCAGGTAGACAATCAGAGGTAGAGGATATAGTTATATAGGGTATAGTTAGTTATGTAGATCGTTTTTGATTATGAAATGGGCAGAAAGTTACACGTCCTATTAATTATTAATCCGTTTATTTTGATGTGCCCTACTAACAAATTTATAAAATATAATCTATAGTGAAATGAGATACGGGTAGTGTAGATTTCAGAGCATATTTGTGTAGTTTACCAGTGGCCATTACAAACCTTTATGTGGGACTGGTAAACACTTGCAGCTTTAAACCAGATAGCGGTTGGCCGTAGATCTGCTAGTATGGCATGCAGTAGTCTTGCTCTGTGCGTTTTAGGGTGGAGTTTTCTAAATCTCACATGAGTATGTAATCTTACCTTATTGAAGAACATGCGATCATTTATCACTCCAGAATCGATAGTTAATACTGACTGTTGACGTTGTACTTGTGTCTATGTGTCGCACATGCCAGCCGGTTCCCCAGCAGTTCAGTTTTCAAATAAGTAACCAAGCCATGATTAAGCGGAAATGTGTATCGTATCGTGAAAGGTTCATCGTGATACGGATCGGCCTCGTGACCTGCCCGTATCATCCCATCCCTAGTTATTAGTGTCGTAGTAGCTGACATTGACATCGTTGTACCTAACATTGACATTGTTGTAGTTGACATTGACATCGTTGTAGTTGACATTGACATCGTTGTAGTTGACATTTACATCGTTGTAGTTAGCGACATTGACGTTACCATTGTTAGTTTTGTCGCGATTGCCTGTCGTTGTCATGGCTACTGCCATTGCCATCATCACAATACCTTTCATTGTCATTGTTATTTCATGATCATCGTCCATAATAATATTATGATATTATATGATAATATTATATAATACTGTCATTTTCATAATCGTCGTTACTATCACTTTCATTCTCTTAGTTACTGCTATTATTATTTTACTTATTGTTGCCGGTCAACATTGTCATTGCTGATGTTACTGTGCGTTGGTCATTTTCTCGGTGATTGTTGTATATATCACGTGCGTACTGCTAATTTCGTCTTCATCTGGTGAGTCTTGACAGATTGTGTGACGTCTAGTTGTTTGTATGAGTATCTTTCACAGCTGTCCTTTCACATGGCTCTTTGCTATGCAGATTTTATTTGAAACAACGAGTCGTAGTAAATATCGAATTAAATGTCGTAAATGTTTCGCTGTGATTTAGCGTTTTGTTAACGATTTCGTTGGCGCTTCTGACCAATTATAGCACGTTTATATTTTGCTTTTTTAGGTGTGTGTATTTTTATTTCACGTGTACGCTGGAATTTTAGTCGTGCCTGTGCGAATTCGTGCACTAATTTCGTCTCATGCATCCATGCACGATTTTCTCCGTGTGGGTGTATTTCGTGGCTGCGATTTCACAATCCTTTACCAACAATCGTTCTCATGTTCCTCACAAATTGCTCAAACGTTTCTAGTATCACTTCGAGTACGACAAGGTTACTCGAGTTCCTTTCTATAGTGTGTATACTGAATAGTGCATGTTAAGTCTCAGGAGGCGAGGGAGCGGTCAGTGCTGGTTGACTCGCCCTACATTCGTCATGTTCTACCTACCTACCTATGATCTGTGCCTTCATATCAAGTTTTGTACTAGTTAATAGAATGCCTTGTGAAGCGTTGTCATGAACGATAACGTTATCGATACCTCTTTCGCTCAGACTTTGATACTAAATGAATTTTAATACCCGCAGATTGCCTGATCTACATTGGCTGTTATGATGAAATATAGAATCGGCTGTACGTACGTCGTTGAAATAAATTCTACCGTCGGTGTCTTGAGAATGTCCCGAGTTCTCTTTATTCTTGTTGTTTACTTGTGTGTTGTATAGGAGCATTTGAACGGCATTTACAGGAGATTGTCGGCAATAATAGGCGAAAGAGAGTAGAGAAACATTAAGACTTTGGTAGTAAATACATTTCTTGTTTATATTTACCATCATTTTACTATAAGAAAACTTTCCAAGTGTCCGTGGATGTGGGCAGTAGTGGGCTGTCACGTGTACAGAGTCGTATGAAGAGTGATGTTAAGGAGTGGTGTGCATGTTCAAGTCGCACGGTGCATTTGTTGGCAGTGGCCTGCAGATAAGCGATGATGCGCCAGAGGTGGCCAGTATTGTGAGTCGTGAGGGGGGTAGTGCACAAAAGGGGGAGAGTCGTGGTGGAGTTTGGCTTCCAATCGACCAGCCACCATCCGTTAGTCCCCCACGCGCGTCCATCCTCGCACAAATCCGTTAATCGCTGCCACGGAAGCTGCTCTATTGTTTGCAAACCGTATCGCCTGTCTATCACTAGAACCACGCTCTCTCACGGGCTATCTTAAGAGCCCGGCCTATTCTATTGTTTACCCACGGCATAAAGCGTTCGCCGTTTTATCCCGTGTCGAGTGCAATCAGCATGTAGACTCGGCGCTACCGACGCGACGCCTGGTGTCGTGAAGTGTTTAAATAGCTTTGAAGTATTCGACATATTCGCATTCTAAGCGTGTGATCGTAACGCCCGCGGGCGAGCCCGCTTTCTGCTGGCGCGCTTAGAAGCGCTTAGATTCGCCTCTCTGTGCGATTTTCGCGACGAAGGTTTTGTTCGAAATTGAAAATCGACATGTGAGAGGAAGGAGAATCTGAATGGCGTAATCAGCGAAGCGTTATATTGGCGTAGAGCCGTGACTGAGTGACGTACGCTTAACGCTGTTTACCTGTAATGTACTGTTCATTGACTTCATGCTTAGTACATACCTATAGGGAAATATCTCCCCATAGAACGCCGTTGTTCGCCTGAGAGTAGCCACTTACCAGAGAATGTTGTCTACCTATATATGTATGTATATATATATATTATATATATATATATATATATATATTTGAATAGTGTTTACTCATAGAATGCTGTTTACTCATAATGCCGCTCACATATAGTGTAGCACCATTTTAAATCAATAAAATATTCGATACGCATAACTTTATCGATCGTTCATTTTAATGTGCCAAATTTCCTTTCTCTGCAATTTTAGTTTTCATATACGTTCACGCTATCCTCACAGTCCCAGCCCACACCACTCCTGCACAACAACTCTTCCTCCATCACTGCCATCAGGCCTTGCATCCCCCTTACGGACACCACCCCACGGACACCACCACCAGCCCGCCGCTAACACCCCGCCACCCCCATCACCACTAGCACCAGCACCACCGTCACCGCCAGCCACCACCACCACCACCACCACGCCGCCACCACCACCACCACACCACACCACCACACCGCCACCACCACCGCCACCACACCACCACCGCCGCCACCACCACCACCACCCACCACCACACCACCACCACCACCACCACCACTACCACCACCACCACCAGGCATCAGCCCAACATTTCAACTTCTATGATGACACAACGCCCCGACTCAGGAGGACACTGTCGACCAGCTAATACACGCTATATATCGCGTACCGCATGCGCCGAGAGACGGATGGCGCGATGACGTCACACTTATCTGCGCCTGTTTCTCGTAATCGTAGAATATAGCCGATGATTTCCGCGGACAAATCGAATTAGGAAGCCAATCTCGGCGTCTGCTGGGCAAAGAGCTGCGGCAGCGTAATCGCATCACGCGCATTCAGGTGTGTCACGCGCACCGCGCCGCACACCCAGCCCGCGATCGTGCAGGATGAGGGTGTGTGGGTGTGAGTGTGTGTGTGGTGAGTGTGAGGGGAGGGTGAGGGTGTATGGTGAGTGTGAGGGGAGGTGAGGGG